GGCATAGTAACACTTTATACTACACGTATACGAAGTATATTGAAGACGTCCGTTCGTTGCTGCGCACGAAAAAGGAATGACTAAACTACACGATTAAAAACCGAAGTTGAAATAGTTAAAACGTGGGTAAACACAAAAAAAAATGTAGGTACTTAAAAAACTTATCTAAAGACGTGCGTAGTTGCTAGCGCAAGGAAAGGGGACTACAGGGTAAAAATAATATCTGAAGAATGAAGCGACGAAATATAGTAATAAATCAGTTTTAAATGGTATATTTCCATCTTTATGGAAAATTGCTAAAATCACCCCTATTTATAAATCAGGCGATAAGAGTGATGTCATAAATTATCGACCAATTTCTATCTTAAATTGCTTTGCTAAAATTTTTGAAACTATGATCTATAAACAACTGTACAGTCATATAAAACCACATCTTAACATTAAACAACATGGTTTCGTATCTGGTTGCTCCACAACTTCCAATTTATTAGTTTATACCACTTTTTTAAGTGAAACATTTGATACAAAGACTCAAGTAGATTCAATATATCTTGATTTCTCCAAGGCATTTGATCGAGTAAATCACACAATACTATTATCTAAGGCTAGCCATCTGGGCATACATGGTAATCTTTATCGTTGGCTATGCTCTTATCTGGATAGCCGTTCTCAATTAGTAGCTCTATACGGGTATGAATCATTTCCGTTTCTAGCCACCTCTGGTGTACCACAAGGATCTATTTTAGGCCCTTTGTTATTTTTTATATTTATCAATGACCTACTGTCTTTGATAAATAGTGAATGCCTCGCATATGCTGATGATATAAAAATCTTTTTCCAAGTCACTAAAAGAGAAGATTGTAAAATTCTTCAGCATGATCTCGACTCTATCCGAATGTGGTGTGATGAAAATTTGATGGAGCTTAATAAAAATAAATGTTATATCATTTCATTTACAAAAAATAAAGTTCCAATATCGTTCGACTACAACATAGCAGGTACCGTTATTTCTAGAGTCAAAGTAGTACGGGATCTAGGTGTTATATTTGATTCAACCTTATCTTTTAGGCCTCATATCGATTACATTACAAGTAAAGCAAATAGATCACTCGGTTTTATCATCCGAACTGCCCAACCTTTCAAAAATTCAATCTCGTGGATAGTTTTGTATATCACTATAGTAAGAAGCATACTTGAATACTGCTCTTCCGTATGGAAACCAATATATAATATTCATATTAACAGAATCGAGGCTATACAACGTAAATTTCTAAAAATATTAAGCAGGCGGCAAGGTCTCAGGCGTGAATTACCAACTTACACTGACAGACTTCATAAATATAAACTAAAAAGCCTGGAAGATCGGCGTGTTATATCAGATTTATGTATCCTTCATAAAATAGCCAATGGCGATTTCAACAGTAAATTACTAGAAAAACTGGAATTTAAAATTCATACTCATTCGATTCGTCAGCCACAACTTTTTAATATACCTTCGGCAACTAATAGCGTTTCCCAAAACAACCCTTTACACAGAATGTGTAAAACATACAATAGTTTAAATGATGAATACGACATTTTTAATAATAGTTTATTATCGTTCAAGAAAAAATTAAATAAATTATAGTTCTTACTTTACACTTTCGATAATAAAGATATGATTTCTCTCTGTTTCTTCTTTTTTATCTTTTTTTCTTTTCTTTGTCTTTTTTGTTTTTCCACATGAAATGTAAATATGATTTTATTTTTGTTTTTTAATATTTCTTATGTACTCGTTACTTTAAATGCACAAACTCATACTGTATTAATTCACCCTTTTTTTTTTTTAACGTTGGGAAATGCATTTACGCACGACGTGTGGGACTCACCGGCGTAATACAGCCAGTACTACCCACTAAAACCCAACAAAACCTTCCCCCGTCTTAATGGGGCGTCGCAGGATCGCTTACGCATTCAACTACGACGCCCCGACGGCAGGTCTGCCGAAGCAGACCACCACAACCATGGGGTTGCTCCACAGTCCACTCTGCTATCAGAGAAGTACCAGGAGCAACCCGCATGGTACACCGCCCCCTGAAGAGGGCCACCTCCCACCGCCCACCGAAGTGGGCAACCTCCCTGTGCGTTTCTTAGCTTCGCGCCCGGTTGGATTGCCGGGTACTACTGAGCCCCCCCACCACGACAAGGTGAACGCACGTTGGGGGGGGGGGGGTATTAATTCACCCTTTGGTTAAGTTTGTTGTTGTTGTATAATTATTATATGTTTTCATTTCAATGTTGTGTACAGACATAATTGGACAGCAAATTTAATATGATATTTTTAGTTTATAATACGAAGATGTAATTTTTTTAATTTGTTTTCTGTTTCTGTACCTAAATAAATAAAATAAAAATAAAATAAAAACTATAAATGATTTTTTCTTCAATTAGAGTCTTAAAGAACAACTAATGACCATTACGCCCTAATTACGTAAGATAAAGCTAAGCATAGATTAGGTCGTAAGGGTTTCGATTACATGAGCTCAATGCAAAGATGAGACTTCAACTACATTTAAAATAATAGAAACATGATTTTACGCTCCCTATTGAAAATTATTTTTACGATACATCCCAAATAGTAAAAAAAAATCGAGCTAGAGCTGTTGAAAATACAGGTCGTAAGAGGCTTTTTTTAAGGCGCTACCCTGACCAAATAACCTTGAGCATTCGTTCCCTCTTTGCCGCACCTCACCTCTATAATACTTCGTAAAGCAGTACTAGCGCCATCTAGCGATCACCTTCCGAATACAAGTAAAAATTGCAGACCTAAGAATTCACAGACATGGCATTATGGCATTCAATAAAAATATCTTTTTATGAAATGTTTATTGGTGCGCCAAAATAATTTTGATCATGATGAATCTAGTGACTATACTTACGTTCATGAATACTTCTAACATTTATTCATTTAAAAGTATTAAAGGTATTCTATAATAAAGATTGTGCGGTGTTTATTTTTTAGATTGAAGGTTTATTTGTAATTCAGACCGTGGGTGATTGATAAAAGCAGAAAAATTAAATAACCAAGTCAATTTTATCATCATTTATTATTTTTTAGTGGGTTTTTTAACAGGTATTGCTAGCAGTGTCAAATAAAATATTCTAGAGAAACTCTGCAGACGTGATATTGACCACTAGTGCTGTTGTTAATAAATTGAGATTTCTTCATACACACACAAAGCGTCCTTTCGCGGAAAATAAGAATAAATAAATAACAAACATAAAAAACTATCACTAATACAAATGTCAATAACAAAAACACAATAATATAAACTAATATTATTGTGATGTGAGCGAACAAGTGCACGAGTGCCGACGCGGCGCGATGACGAACGACACGTGTTTCACCTTCGAGACCTTGTGGCACACTAACTCTGCGCAAGAGTTACGTAGCGAGTACGCTTAGATTTTAGAATAAAATCTTTATAAAATCAATTTTTTGTGTTTTGAAAAAAATAAAACTACCAAAATGTTCTCTATTTAATTACCTATCCATTAGTTAAGGAAGCAAATCAAAATAATGGTTAATTTAGGAGGAGATGCATGTTATAAATAATTATTTCTCATTTCTGTGGTTTTTTTGTGGCCCTTTAATTAAATATTATGCTGCTTAAAAAAAAAACTACCATTTTGGAGTCAAGATTATGTAGAAATTTAATGTATTTTTTATTAGTTGTTATTTCTTTTAGATAAAGAGAAGTTGGCTCCCAAAAACAGCCTAAAAACGGCTAACGCTGCGTTTCGCACGGTAACGCGCCTTAAAAGATAGGATTGTTTTAAATATATCTATCGATAGAGCTCGCGACGCTGATTCGAAATATGTATATAACCATTTTCGGCAAAATGTCCTTTACGACAATTGATTTTCGGTGTCGATATTAATGTCTATTCAAGTTTAATTTATGCATTTAACCTATTTAAATTCAAGTGAAAACATTACGAAACTAGAATAAAGAATGTAAAGCTAATTTCACGAAACTAGTATCAGTACCATTAAGCTTATTAAATTAATTTGTGTCGTGAAATTCTGAAACAAACAGACAAATGAAAAGATCAATGGATCTTAAGTTGATAATAACTAAAGGATGAAAGGATAAAATGTTACTTTTTTAATATATTTTATTAGAACACCAACAACATAACACACAAATACATAATATTAAATTCATTCTTAATCACAAGTTCTAGTATGTTAGTCACTCACAGGTGTCCATAGCACTAACCAACAAATTATATACATGCACTGCTAATATAAAAAAATATAAAAAGAAAATAACATGACTACAAAAATAAGGGTAAAAATTGTACAGAAAAAAAACAATTGAGTAAAAAAACAATTATAAAACTATTATAAAAAAAAACAATTATAAAAAATAAAGCCAGTGCAGGCTGATAAGTAAAAAAGTTCGTTATTTTTATACAACAAAAAATAATTAAAAACATTAAAATTTATAAATAGGGTTAAGTTACTTAACTACTTTTATGTATATAAAAAATTAAAGACTAAGATATATGTAAATAAATATTAGAATTACTTACTCCTAAAATCTTCCTTATTAAATGTTTATTATATTTACAGATAAATATTTACATTAAACTTACACATAATACACAGTAACCGTATAAACAAGTCCTTTGTTCAGAACATAAATATAAAGTCATTTACAATATAAATACAATTTAAAATATCGTTAACCACACGAAAGAGCAAAAACAAATCTTTCGTAGTTAACCCCCACTTTAAAAAAATTATTGCATCTATTTCTCACTTTAAGCCAAATATGTTCTATCTTTTGATTTTTAGCCCAATAGAAATTTACATAACTTCGTTATTCTTTCTAAAATTATATATTAATAACATGAACTAATTAGCCACAATTCATTCATGATTAATAATAATACTATTTCTGTATTTTTTTGTAAAAAATAAAATTTTCTCTAACATTAATTCTTATAAATTATAATCGTGTATTTTGGTCTAATTTAACTTTATTCGACACTCGAAGACAGATGTAAGAACCGATGCTAATGATAATAGATAAGAAGGCTAACAAGGCAGACGTCCCACCGATGAATGAAGGATATAGGTGACTTTGTAAGTGACACTTCTCTACTTCATACCAATTGCAGGTTGCCACTGTCACAAAATGAAAAAAAAAATGTTTAGTACTTTCCCAAATCTTATATATATATGCTGCAAATTAAAAAAAAATAAGAAATATTTTTTTGAAATTAACGTTTTAGTTTAATCATTATATATACCTATCGATGTATCAAACCTTCAAATACTTATGATACAAAATTGTTACTAATAACTTATTTACTTATTTCTTAGATATGAAAAAAGAAACCTATCTGCCAATTTTTTACAATATATTAAATAAACGCACATATATTGTACAGCTTTTTATAAATAAAAGCAGATTTATGAATAAAACTTTAGCAAATGACCTACCTCCTATTCCGATAAAAATTAAGTGTCCACAGACAAAACAAATGAAGGCGACCATCGACCACGCTAGCCCCATCACTACGGACTTGTCCCGCTGGTCCACAATGCGGAGGAGCAAGACCCCTTGAGCTTGGAAAACTAGCACTAGAAATAAAAAATATATTAATAAATAATTAATATATTAAAAAACAACTAACTAAAATTCTTACCAGACGACAGGCATATGACTAACTTTCATATTTATATCACAAAAAGTAAATTTTTATATTAAAAAAATAATTTTAATCGGTAGATCATGTTTATTGGTCATATTATCAACGATTCTAAATTCTTATCAAAATAAGTAAATTTATCGTCTAAAATGCTTAAAACAAAAGACTTTTCCTTTTTACTGCATATAATTTGGACAAATGGTTAAAGAGATAATACAACATATTCGTAGGTATGGAACCGGAACCGTGTCGTAACTCGTAATCTATTGAATGATATTTCTATAAGATGGTTATTTTTCAGACACAATACTAGTACTATACGTCAATCTATCTATACTAATATTATAAAGAGGTAAAGTTCATGAGTTTGTGAATTGTGAGTTTGTGAGTTCGTAACGTTGTAGAGGGTAATCCCTGAATCTACTAAACAGATTTAGATGAAATTTGGTAAGAAAATAGTTTGAGACCCTGGGAAGGACATACAATATATCCCGGAAAATTATATATTATATATTTTTATTCGAATATTTATAAATAATAACAATATATATTTTATCCCGGAATCATCCCTTATGGGGATGAAAATAGGGATGAAAGTCTGTATGGGGAAGCAAGCTAGGGACGAACCCGAGCGAAGCGAGGGTGAGTCGCTAGTCATGAATAAAAATGTCGCAACAGTTAATATTCAGTATCATTTGATATTTGTAGAGACATCACTCTAAACTAGCGCCCTCTCGCGGCGAATTCAAGCGACATCCCTCAATACCTAATGCGGAATAATAACTGGTACTATGTTCCTAACATAAATGTATGGAAGGTAGAAGTAAGGAGGACCGTCTTGTATGGGGGATTAGTTGAAAAAGTACTTGTAAACAGCAAATTATTGTTTCAACACTCACCGAAATAACGCTAGTATAGGAAATGGAAATGATATGAATTTCGCAGTTATAAACAGAGTGAAGTGTGCTGGTTTGAAAATATGCTTGTTACAATTTTAATTATTATTTTTTTAATTTTGGTTATTGTTTAATACTATTTTCTACTTGCTATTTACAAATAATTGGGGTACCTAAAATACTTTATGATTTTATTCCATATTCATGTTTGTCTGTATATTATAATAATTTAAAAAAATGCGCTCTAACAAAACGGAAATTTTTCTTCCCTTTTATAATTCAGTATCCTACTCTAATAATTTGTGGCGCTCCTTTTAAAATTCTTCCACTTGCTACTAGTGCCACCTTAATTTGCTACCTTTCAACGGACACTTTTTAATATACTGAGATGGTCCTCCATACTTCTACCCTCCATACATAAGTGTTGTTACATCAATAGTGAATAGAGCAATGATGATCGAGTACGCAGCTAGCATAATGTATGTTCATTGAATTTCGTTTTATCTATGACACACTATTTTATTTATGGAGACAAGTATGGAGATTACACCAAAGCTTATAATATTTTTAACTGCGTTCCTAAAGTAAAATAAAGCATTTGTAAGTTCCTTGTTTTCTTTGTGGTTGTGGGACTCACCGGCAAAGCCAGTACTACCCACTAAAACCCAACAAAACCTTCCCCCGTCATAATGGGGCGTCGCAGGATCGCTTACGCATTCAACTACGACGCCCCGACGGCAGGTCTGCCGAAGCAGACCACAACAACCATGGGGTATCAGAGAAGTACCAGGAGCAACCCGCATGGTACACCGCCCACCGAAGAGGGCCACCTTCCACCGCCCACCGAAGTGGGCCACCTCCCTGTGCGTTTCTTGGCTTCGCGCCTGGTGGATTGCCGGGCACTACTGAGACCCCCACCACGACAAGGTGAACGCACGTTGGGGGGGGGCTTGGTACCTTAACCTCCTACAGACAATAAGTACTAACTTATATTTTTTTTTATTTTCTTATGTACTTATAAGACGTACTTATTCTAATTTGCTTATATTTTAAATAAAACTATCTTTTCGGATTATCTCGCGGATTTATTTTGATTTTTGGTTCCCGGCGTTTCGAATGCTTTACAGCATCCATGGTCACGGGAGAGACTATCTCCCCCGTGACCATGGATGCTGTAAAGCATTTAATCAAAATAAATCCGCGAAATAATCCGAAAAGATAGTTTTATTTAAAATGTCAAATATTCGCGTAAATCTAAAAAAGTATTATTTATATTTTTTCAGCCGACCTTCCTTTGCAATAATTAATTGATCCGAGAGAAATTTATAACACATCATCGTCGTTGCTGTCATCATCATTGAGTATAAAAACTCTACATTTCAAACGTACTCTACACTACAATCCTTATAAAAAAAATTGTAAAAATTTACTTACCTGTGAAAGTAGTTATTATAAACAACAACATTCCATGAAGATGATACGAGTCATGGCAGTGGACGTTGCTGCAGGCGCCGAGCTGCGCGCGGCCGCCGGCGGTACACGTGCAGTTTGAGTACACGCTGTAACCAACACGCGCTTTATAGTAAAATTAGTTGCGGTTATACATTCGTATATAGCTCTTTTTAACGTCCCACTGCTGGGCACGCACCTCCCTTCAGTACGATCAAGCTATAGTCCAGCACGCTGGCCAAGTGCGGATTGGCGGACTTTACATGTCTTTCGAAAGCTTGCTAGTTTCTCTCCGTCATGCAGGTTTCCTCACGATGTTTTCCTTCACCATAAGACAAGTGATAATCATGTTGGAAATGATTCGCACATGAAAATGTCAGAGGTGCGAGACCCGGGACTTGAATCCACTTATTTCAGTGAGTTTTCCAAGCGAGTGTGTACTGGGCTAACACTGCCTTTTACAATCTTTCTCATAGACATAAACAGTCGGTGAAATTTTCGATAAAAATAACATTATTTTAGATACTTACAAAAAACCATTAATGGTTTCCGTGCTTCTACAACCAGCCTGGCACGGGGACAGGTACGTCACCATCTCGTCCATCACACACACCGGTTGAAACTCATTCCAACGGGGGAGACAGCTGTAAATTATTATTTAACTATTATTATAATCAGTTAAATCTATTATTCACACTGTTCAGTAAATTTTTATGCACTTGTTTTCAATTCTCTACCAAGTTTTTTGCCTTTTATATGAGAAATTGATTACTGCCTGCTATAATCCATACTTCTATCTATACATATAATAAAAATTCTAACTAAGCCGAATTTGTACATTAGATATTTTTTGGAAAATCTTATTGAAATAAACATTATTATCGATACAGAGTCCAAATCTATAGTTTTTAGAATTTTTGTCTGTCTGTCTGTCTGTTACCGCATCACAAGAAAACCACTGGACAGATTTTGATGAAATTTGGTATGATGATAGCTGGTTATCCGGGTCAATATATAGGATACTTTTACCGCGGGAAAATATCTCATGTCTGAGAAAAAATTCAAAAACTGCAATGTAAAAGTATACTAATATGTAAAACCTAAGAATTTGGTTTTTGGTCATCTGAACGCGGGGTGAGTCGCGGGCAATGCTAGTAATATTATAAATGAGTGTTTGTTTGTTTGTACTTCTTTTACGTCAAATCGGAGTGACGAATTGGCGTGATTTTTTGTGTGAGAGAGAGAGATAGTTTCAGGGCTGGAGAGTGACATAGGCTACTTTTTACCGCGGGAGATTATCTCCTTCACATGGGAAAACACGTTATAATACAACCCAAAAAAATATTTATGATCAGAACTGCTTGAAACTTGGTGTTAATGCTCTTCATTACAATGAAATAAATACGTGTTTTAGCATTTTTCGAAAGTCATCCCATAAGGGATAAAATAGGGGATGAAAGTTTTTATGAAATCTACCTTTTTAGGGGTTTTTTTTATAGTTAAAACTAAAGCGCTAAAGCGCGAGCGAAGCCGCGGGTTCTGCTAGTATTATATAAAAAAAATATTATCTGATTGATTCAGCAACGCGACGTCTACACATAAAGCACTTGGGACAGCTAATTCCTGAAAATTGCTAGTAGGGGAATTTTTTGAAGTTCAATAATTAAGTAATTGAAAGAGGTGACAAAAATTTGAATCATATTTTTCGGATGAGACACGTGAAGTATGCTATCACAAAATTTATAGTAGATGCGAAAAAAATTAGATTAGCAAGATTTTTATATCAAAATCTATTATACATATGTAGGTACATACAAATAAATAAAATTCAAGTGTCTGTTTGTAATGTCAAAATGACATCTTTTTACTAAATGCATATGAAAGTATATAATATATGGTACTAATGAAAGTATGTATATACGTAAAAACAACCATTCTTAGAACTTTCATCTCTCTGTTTATTCCGGCTTATCTCCGAAACGGCTGAACTGACATTGACGGGACTTTCGCCGCTGGCAGATACCTGATGTTATAAGTAATAACTATGGTAGGCAAACAAAATCCGCATACCTGAAGTAGGTTAGGGACAGACCCGATGGTAAGTACCTAGTTTTATATATCGGAGACGAGTCATAATCACAACTAATCGGAACGCGAACGCCATCTTTTTGGGCTCGACAGAGTCTACGTCGTGACACTCGACTGGGCTCAGCTGAGTTACGCTTGGGTGGTCGCACAGTGAACACTAGTAGAAACTGTCTCGCGTTTCGTATTGTCTATACGTGGTAATAGTGAAGTGAAGTGATATATGGTTGTGTAGTGAAGTGCTATGTACAAAATGATTACTGTTTTAAATAAATCCGAAAAGATAGTTTTATTTAAAATGTCAAATATTCGCGTAAATCTAAGAAAGTATTATGATTACTGTTTATTTGAAATACAACTTTGATTGCAATGACTTTTCTTTATTTGAACCAACACTTTCCGTATAGCGCCCACTGTATACGTCATGATAAAATGATGGAAAATAATAGGGAAAGTTGATGCTGCTTCGACATGTATAACAATGCAATTTATGCTGATAATAATCTACTAATACACAACTAACTTGCAAGGCAAACTACACTCCGGGTGTCCGAAGACCGTCTCGCTGAGCCCCGCCACCTCCCCGTGGTCACAGCGCGGCATAAACGTCATCACCACGAACACGATACACGCGGCCATGCTCATCAATATCGTCTGCTTCATCGCTTTTAAATTGCAAAACTCCATAAGAATTGGAGCTGAGAATTTAACTCCTGCGTACTAAAAAATAATTAACTTTTTAGGCTGTTCCAATATATATATATATATATATATATATATATATATATATATATATATATATATATATATATATATAGATTGGAAAACAAACAAGTGGAAGATATTCGTATAAATTCGATTTCGATTATCGGACGATTAGGCACACCGACCTTTTTAACACTACAAACTTCGAAACAATAATTAATAGGTACGAGTACCTCGCGTATGGTTGGAATGTTCCTCAAAAAGAAAAAAATAACACATGTTATATACAAACCGTTTTTATTTTAATTTAATCTCTGATACTATAGGATAGTAGCGAGTTCTCTTAAAAAAAAAGTAAAAACTCTCGCCTCTCGCGATTGCCACTCACTTTTACGGTTAAGGAAAGCATAGTGAAGAAACCGGCACGTATCAGAAAACGTAACCATTGCAAAGCAAATTGTACACAGTACAATTATATTAACTACCTAATGATGTTTGTCCTCTATGCGTTACTAAAACATTAATCTCTAGCGCCACGCTTAGGTAACCGCGCACCCAGGCGAAGCCAGAGCTGTTAGTGTATTTATATATTTAATCTGTGCTAAAACTTACCGCCACAATTACAACTAAGAAATGGTACAATAGAAGCTCTGTATAATTTACAATTCCATTATCTTCCCGAACCCAATTGAACTTCACCTGCAATAGATATATTAAAATTAAATTAACTAAGTCTTGTAATAATAATTTGTTAGATCGAATAACTTCCGCTTGTAGCTTCGTTCTCGTTTATTTCTTTTACTTTTTAATTATTATTAGTCTAGTGGTTAGCTTAAAAGGTTGCAAATAAATGGTCGTATGTTCGATTTCTAGCTAGGCTAAAATATTTATTGGAGTTTCTGACAAGAAAATGTCAGTTGCAGTAAGTGAGAGATAAGCTTCGCTAGACCACCATGCCAAGACAAAGCAATTAGAGCCATTGGTCCTGCGCCTGATGGTCCTCTACGTCGGCGAAGCCATCTCATCAACTATGACAGTGAAGCGAAGAAAAGGAAGCCATCTCATCAAGTGTAAGAGTGAAATTGGCCGATATGACTGAAATTCAGTTATAACGACATTACTGATTGTAGTTTCACGGGGAATTCTTCCCGATTTATAAGTGTTACGTAGGACCTCTTTATAGTTGTGTCTTGAATTCCGACCCATGTCATTTTTGAGTAAGAACTTACTGAGAAATATAACAGATTTTGAGATAAGAACAAAAGAATCATAATATTATATATTTTGATATTTTCATGTGCGAATCTTTTTCAATATGATTACCACTGGCACTTGTCTTAACGGTGAAGGAAAACATCGTAAGGAAACCTGCATGTCTGAGAGAACCTAGTAAGTTTTTCAAAAGACATGTGAAGTCCGCCAACCCGCACCTAGCCAGCGTGGTGAACTATGGCCTGATTCCCCTCGTACTGAAGGGAGGCACGTGCCCAGCAGTGGGACGTTAAAAAGGGCTGAATACATGTCATAGCCCGAGAGCTCGTGACGAATTTTGGGAAGGTCCTTTTGGCAAGTTGAAATCGTGAAAAAATATAATTTCGTGAATTGGCGAGTCCAGTCCCGCGAGTCTGGTATAGCTTTAGCGGTTATTTCATTACTGCGCAGTAAAAAACATATTTTTGGCATATTTAAAGCATCTTTGAAGAGGTCTGGCAATACTTTATAACCAACAAAAAGTCTGGGGTTCTCTTTTTTTAATTATATGAAAACTAAATTAAAAAATTAAACAAAAATCAAGTTGCCAAAAATATGTTTTTTTGGATATATTTTTTGCAAATGTTATATACTGCGCAGTAACGAAATAACTGCAAAGCTATACCAGACTCCCGGGACTTTACTCGCCAATTGACGCAATTATATTTTTTCACAATTTGAACTTGCCAAAAGGACTTTCCCAAAATTCGTCGCCAGCTCTCGGAATATCAATAATACATAGTACGTACGTATATTAACATAAAAATTCTATTTAATATGGCATACCTTAACAATTTCGCTTTCATTGTACACATACCCCCATAGCGCGGCCGCCATGAGTCCCATCGCTAACATCTGTGTTATTGCTACAGAGTTACACATCACTCTTCCTAAACTTAAAAAGAAACCTAAAAAAAAGAGACGCTATATTTGAAAAAATCACTCATAAGCACCTTGCGATTCATCAAAAGAAATACTATTTCCATTCGAAATTGAAGAGGCTTACTCATAACCATGGAGAACCACATACACTTTAACTCAAAATTATTATGATTTGTCGTCTGAATTGCAAATTTTTAAATCGATAATTATAATTCAGTTTAAATTGAGTTTTTCAATATGATAACACTTAATTTTATCTACATATACAAAAGTAAAGATAAAATTTCAACTTACCCCTGTCCTCATCACTTAAAGCAGTCCTCTGAACTCCATCTACTTCAGGCACTACTTTGGGTACTATAAACAGTAATTGTATCACATTAACAGCTAGACTCAGTACCAAGATCAATGTCTGTATAGACAAGTTCGTCTCCAGAAGGCTTGTCATGATCCTTTCACCAATTATCAATACCACTACTCGAGATAAAAGAACCACTCCTGGAGATAAAAGAAATAATCACCAATTATATTAGGCAAATTAAATAAAAACTTAAAACTTGGAAAATGTAAGCATTTCGAGAAATATGGAATATAGTATGGCCGACTTTTAATAAGAAAAATTTAATGATTATTTTTACTAACTTCTCCGAGGAACAGTGATTAAGTGCAGTCATCTTCAATAGGTCAGAATCTTCTTCGATAGGTACCATACTTTGGTTTGTAAGCAATGTTCCGACGAAATACGACGAATGGTTGTATGTGTATGTATTCAGCCCTTTTTAACGTTCCACTGCTGGGCACGGGCCTCTCTTCAATACGAGGGCGATCAGGCCATATTCCACCACGCTGGCCAAGTGCGGGTTGGCGGACGTCACATGTCTTTCGAAAACTTGCTAAGCTCTCTAAGACATGCAGGTTTCCTCACGATGTTTTCCTTCACCGTTAAGACAAGTGGTAATCATGTTGAAAATCATTCGCACATGAAATTATCAGAGGTGCGAGACCCGGGATTTGAACTCACTTCACTCGGTTTCCCAAGCGATCGCGCTACCACTGAATTAACTAATGGTTATTGAAACCTAACTTAGAAGTTGGCAAAATTTAGATATTCTTTATTTTCTGCAAAAATAGATCCCAACAGGACCTTGGCAGTAAGGCAGTTACAAAAAAATGGAAGCTATAAATTATTCATACCATAATGCACACTAGTCCTCGAAGGAGCATACTCGTCGCTGTACGCAATGCCGTGGCTCCAGCACCCGGTGCGAGCGAGTATGAAGGACACGCCAGTGCACGTGAGGATCGATAATCTGGTTATCGATCGTGTGGTCGTACCCTCAAATTTAATATTGATTTGTTCTGCAGCTCCACATAATTCTAAAATAAATAATTACTAAAGTTTTAAAAGGACCGAAAAGTTCTTTGAAAATAAGTGCTCTTAGAGATTTCGACCTCTTTTTTAGAATTTTTATTTTGCCACCATCTAGGTGGTAGCAGTATTTTTTTATATTTTTTCTCCGAATAATTTTTGAAATATAATAGTTAATATGGTAAATAAATAAAATAGTAGACTAAAGTTTATAGGATTTGGAAACTTGAAATCTTTCCAAATAAAATGTCACTGTTTAAGCACCGAATGTCTATCCTGTAGCTTAGTATTAACGGTCGAATAGTGTTTTAATAAGTATAATATATTTAAATACATTATATATTGACGGTTAGCATAGATTTCTCAAAGATGAGATATTTTCCCGCAATAAAAAGTATCCTATATGTTGACCCAGAGAACCAGCAATCAACATACCAAATTTCATCAAAATTTGTCAAGTGGTTATCTCGTGACGCGTTCCCAGACTGACAGACAGAAAAAATATTTAATGTATAGATTCGACTCAGTTACAATTTTATTATATGTAACGTATGTAAATTGGACTCATTTTCCGTAGCTAGACTCGCATTTAGTCCGTTGTACGTTTTATTATATGTACAGATTTAATCAAATTAAATAAATAATATCTTCTAGCCCCACACTTATATAAAACCTCTTACAGGTTTTCCTGAAAAATATTAAAAACGAAGAAATCTTTTTTACATAAAATGAAGAAATCTTCAATTATTGTAATGTTTACTAGTTAAATTTATTTTTTACACTTACCAGAAACAGATCTTTCTTCCACATTTGGGATGAAGAACCATGAGATGCTACACACCGTAACTAGGGATGAGTATGCAAGGAGCATCGTCCGCCGTTGACCATAGCCCCACCATGAAACGAACGGAGCCACAAGAGCTTCGAATATCGATAACGCTACAATCATTAAATCTGAAATATAAGAAATGGCCCTTTTTACAATTTTTTTCAGATAAATTTGGATTTGCAAAGCGTCGGCTTACTCTTTCGCCTTTATTAAACTTCCTAGATATAGGATTTAAGTTCCCAATGCTAAAAAACATTTATCATCATTCATTTATACTATATTTGTTTGTCTGGGATAATCTTCGAAATGACTATATCGTTTTTAGAGACTTTTTAGGTTATAGAGCACCTAAGGGCTGTTTCTTACAGAGAACATTCGCCTGTAATATAATAATTTAAGATTCGATGTTGAGCATTACGTTACAGTACTGGCTCACTGACTGACGAGCATTCGCCTGCAACGTAACAATTTAGATTCGATTTTGAGTATTCGCCTGCAGTCCAGTCAGTTGTTTTTACAATGTTGGACGAAGCGCTCTTGTTGAGCGCGGTAATATTGATTCGCTCAGGTTATTTACGTAAAAAAGTAAAAGAGACGAAGAAATAATCAAACAAGTATAGATGCGTTACACATTGATATATACAATTACGGTGTTACAATTGTATCATTGTTGCGCACTGTATTGCTCAGTTCTTCTCACTCACTTACGTAATGCTCGAATCTGAACTGTTACATTACTCCCTGTGAGGGACCGCTCTAACTGTGACTGACAAAGCATAAGACAAAACGTACCATGATTAAGTGTATACAGGAAATATATTTTACAAACCTGGTGTATAAAAAGGAATTTCGCCGCTTTTTATGTCCTGTACTAGCAATTTGTATGTACAGATCTCTCCTACCGTAGTTATTATCGTCACACCCATCAACACCCCTCGGAGTTTGCGAGGGTCGAACTTTTTCGGATTGAACCATGACAGTACTCGATTTTTTACTAAAAAATAAAATTAATTTATATTACATATATATATATATATATATATATATATATATATATATATATATATATATATATATATAGAATTATGTTTGTGAAATTATGTTTGCTTGTCTGTGAGATTTTTGTATGGCAATGTTTGGACGGTTCAGCTGGAGTGTGACATGTTTTTTACCTCGGGATAATTTCCCATTCGCAGAGAAAGCATGTTATAATCTATACATATAATAAAATTGTAACTAAGTCGAATCTGTACATTAAATATTTTTTGGAAAATCTAATTAAAATAGACATTATTATCGATACAGAGGCTGAATCTATAGTTTTTAGAATTTTTGTCTGTCTGTCTGTCTGTCTGTCTGTTACCGCATCACAAGAAAACCGCTGATTAGATTTTGATAAAATTTGGTATGATGAAACCTGGTTATCCGGGTCAACTATAGGATACTTTTTACCGCGGGTAAATATCTTATTTCTGAGAAAACATACAAAAAACTTTTTAACAAAAAAATAAAAACCGACTTCAAACAAAAGCACTAAAAAGTAAAAAATAACTGATTGGTAGTTTTAATTTACTATACATACCTAATCAAATATTTTCGAAGTCGGTGTGCTTTGCTTTGTATGGGCTGGCACCGATTTCGAAAATATTTGATTAGGTATGTATAGTAAATTAAAACTACCAATCAGTTTTTTTTTACTTTTTAGTGCTTTTGTTTGAAGTCGGTTTTTATTTTTTTGTTAAAAAGTTTTTATTTTTCCCTTTTTAGTGTAGACAGTAGTAAAAAAGTAAGGATTCTAACGTGTTAGGCTTGTCAAATCAAACAAAATAAGCCCAAACTCAAAGTATCTACTATTAGCCGTTGAAGAGTTCCACCTATCCACCTTCTGGCCTTGCTATCAGATCAGGTCAACAACACCGAACCACTGTACTATCAACGGAAATAGAAATACTTGCAAAGTTTCAAGTCAATATGACAATTAGACGTAGGTTAAATTCATCATTAGTTGTTTTTCCACCCTTAGGGGTGGTATTTTTTTTTTGAAATTTAAATGGGACCAATCTGGAAGTATACCCTTTCAAACAAAACAAAAATTGTCCAAATCGGTTAATAAATGACGGAGTTCTGAGGTAAAAAACATAAAAAAAAACATACAGTCGAATTGAGAACCTCCTCCTTTTTGAAGTCGGTTGAAAACTGCAATGTAAGAGTATACTAATATGTAAAACCTAAGAACTTGGTTTTTGGTCATCTGAACGCGGGCGGAGCCGTGGGCAATAAAAGTATAATATACAACCGAATGTGGGACCATAATATTTTATATGAAAGGTAATTAAGGACGCAAGGCGCACCTGAACAAAGCAAGGATACCTCACTAGTTTATAACGTTAGATTTTGTTCCTTTTCAAAAATACATAGGTTTACTTTTATGGCGGTACTTGTAAAAAATATTAATAATGTAGAATATCAATGTTTAAAATATAACTCACCTTGTAATGTCATTTTATTATTGTGTGGCTCTTTAGTTAAATATATGAGTGATAATGTCTAATGATAATTTAGTGATAATTCTTTTATGTCATAGAGGAAGGAACTGTCGTCTGTAATACAGGCTCGGCCTAGTACAGTCAGTGACAAACCGATGTAACATAAATTGTAATAAGCTTTATTTTGCGCTTAGTGTAAATTTAATGTCAAAACTTATTGCTTATAAAGTTTTATTATTATTATTATTATAAGTACATACATATATCAAAATATTAGTGATTCATTTTTATCATCCTTATCTTAAAACTTGATGATAAAAATGAAGTTGATTGCAAAATAAAAGATATATTATAATCAATGTCAACAAAATGCCAAGATTAATTTTTAATCATTACAACCATCAAATTATTACTAATAGCCAGTGTTGGATTTAGGGGTGGGGGGGGGGGGGGTTGCGACCGGGGCGGCCGGCCGTGACGCCAGGTTACACAGGGCGCCGCGCGCCAGCTCAACTTAACCATTTAATTTGAATACTTATTTTTATCGATCTAAAGGAAAACTAGACTCAGCGTTTTATCGTATCTCTCACTAAATAATTCTACATATACGTTTTTTTTAATTGTAATGAAATAAGTATACCCAAAAGGGCGCAAAAGGCATGAGTCGTTTTAGCGCGGTTTTTTTAAACTTATCTCTTAATGACACTCTAGGACCTAAACTATAAATTGCACGAATACCTCTTTTCTGCAGGACAAAAATACTATTAATAGCAGCTGAATTTCCCCACAGTAAGATACCATAGGACATAATACTATGAAAATAACTAAAATATACTATGCGAGCTGTATCTACATCAGTAAGAAGTCTTATTTTTTTACCGCGAACGCTGCAGAGCTGAGTCTACTCACTAGCCTCTCAATATGAGGGCCCCACTGTAATTTTGAATCTGTGATAATACCTAGGAATTTAGTGGACTCTACCGGTTTTAACACTTCCCCATTTAATATTACACCATTATCAACAAATTTTACATTAGGCGTTGAGAATTTTATTAATTTTGTCTTTTTATTATTTAATAATAAATTATTTAAATCAAACCAATAGACAACCTGTGAGAGAGCATCGTTTACATCGTCGTACATTAACGAATTGCGCAAATAAGTGAAGTGTCATCAGCGTACAATACTATATCATTTTTGTCTTGTACAAAAAATGGCAAATCATTCATATAAATTAGAAAGAAAAAGGGGCCAAAAATAGACCCTTGTTTAATGGATCCCCAGGAGATCTCTTACCATTTACATCAATCCTCTGTATTCTATTATTTAAATACGAATTCAGAAGGTCGAGTGCCTTATCTATACTAATATTATAAAGAGGTAAAGTTTGTGATCTTGTGAGTTTGTGAGTTTGTGGGTTTGTGAGTTTGTGACGTTGTAGGGGGTAATCTCTGGATCTACTGAACCAATTTACAAAATTCTTTTACCAATAGAAAGCCACGTTCTTTCTGAGTGTCATGGGTTATATAATTAACCCGAAGAATGAAAGCACTTTTTCATGGTAGTCGGATTTGCAAAGTAAGTCGGAGAAAAAACGGTCGAACGAAAACGTTTCTTACGAACGCTGCCTAAACGATAAGAGATATATGATTATGTTCTAGAGAAAAGTTGTAGAACTTCATAATGCCTACAAAAAAGTCCGCGACAGCATATGTCTAACTTTTATATTTAAGTCACAAAAAGTATTTTTTTATATTACAAAAATAAATTAAATCGGTAGGTCATATTATCAACAATTATGAATTCTTATCAAAATAAGTAAATTTATCGTCTAAAATATTTAAAACAAAAGACTTTTCCCTTTTACTGCATATAATTTGGACAAATGGTTAAAGAGATAATACAACATATTCGTATGTATGGACGAACCCGAGCGAGCTGTTTGTCTGTTTTTCTGTTTGTACGGGCTAATCTCCGATTCTATTGGGCCGATTTAAATGAAATTTTGCATGGTGGTACCTTATATCCCCGTGCAACATCTTAGATACTTTTCTACCCGGAAAATGAAAGGTTCTCGTGGGATAGTTAAAAACTATAACAATTTATACAGCTTAGTACACAAAAACTATTGATTGGATTTTAATGAAACTTTACAATAATATAGTTCATACATGACAAAAACAAATCAGCTACTTTTCATCCCGAAAAATTAAAGAGTTTTCGTGGGATAGTTAAAAACTATAATAACTTATACAGCTTAATACACAACAACTTATTCACCTAATTTAGTAAAATTTGGCATGCTGATACCTTAGATTGCCGGTCAAACAACAGGTTACTTTTCATCCCGGAAAAATGAACGGTTCCCGTAGGATAGATCTGTTTGTGCTTTTCTAGAGGTGAACCCGAGCGAAGCGAGGGTGAGCCGCTAGTTTCTAATATAAGTGAAGCAGTTTCCTGATCAGCGTCTCATGATGCACACAATCAAAGGCCTTGGATAAGTCACAGAATATCCCAAGTGCTTCTTGTAACCGTTCCCAAGCCTCAAAAATATTTTTTACTAGCTCAACACTGGCATCAGCCGTGGAGCGGCCTTTCGTTAATACAAACTGTTTATTATGAAGTGGATTGTTTGCATTGAAATGCGTTAACATTTGTGCGAGTATGATTTTTTCAAAAATTTTACTGAACGTTGGCAGTACCGAAATTGGTCTAAAGTTATTACGGTCTTAGGTACTACCTGATTTAAAAATAGGAATACTTTTACTAGGTTTCATTAGACCAGGAAACGCATCATGCTCTATACAATATGCTATTAAATACAATAGCTAGATGAGGTGCAACAACATCAGATAAGCCCCGTAGGTCAGCGGTTTTTTTGACATCCAAACTTTTGAAGGCTGAGATGATATCTTTGGGGTACGCAAATTTAAATACTAAATTACATTCTTTAACGTGTTCCTTAAGTAAAGATTCAGCAATAGCGGGAGATGAATTGAGTGCTTGCGTTGTTGAAATTGGAATGTCAGTGAAAAATGTTTCAAACTCATGTGCAATTTCTTGGTCTGAAGTAATAAAATTTTCGTTGATGTTCAACTTAAAATTGTTGCTGCGATCTATGACTCTTCCACTTTCACAACCAATTATGTACCATGTCACTTTTACTTTATTGTGTGCATTTTTTATTTTGTCTTTAATATGCAAAGATTTTGCCATGAAGCGTACTCTCCTAGACATTTTTGAGTAGGCATTTACAAAAGAAGCAAACGATGTACTATGATGATAAGCTTTTTCACCATACAGTTCATACAGTCTTTGCCTGCTCTTGTAGATGCCAGGAGTTGCCCATTCACTAAATGACAAGAGACCCCCTGAATTGACTGTTTTAGAAGTAAATATTGTAGAAAATTCTGTTTTTATTAATTTAAATAAAGAATTATATAAGAAGTTGGTGTCATTGCTGTAGGATAAATAAGGAAGCTTAGCTACAATATTACCTCTGAACTTCTCCATACGTGTCATTTATATATGAGCCGCACTCACCATTTTCATTGATGAACGGGTCTCGACAGCTTTCGTCCGTACCATTGGCCCCATCATTTCCACGTGCAAGTTGCTCCCGATCAGACGACATCTATAAAATATAATACGTAAATACTGTACTGTTGTTTTTAGACTTTTTTAGGCAATTTTTTAAATTTTTCTCTTCGTAAGAACCATCCTCGTACTTCAAGGAATATTCTAAAAAAAGAATTAGCGAAATCGGTTCAGCTGCTCTCGAGATTTGCGCTTAGCAATACATTCAGCGATTCCTTTTTATATTATAGAAGATTATAGTATAAATAAGCTTTATTTACCTTTGTTGACAAAAATCACTAAACACGTACAGCACGACGATAAACCGGTAGCGCGCGCGCTGTGACGCAGTGACACTGAATTCCGAAATAAGTGTAGTACTTATATGACTGAATTTACGCCCCTCGACAGTGTGCCTGTATTTATTCGGTGTGTAATCACTGCGTATGTGTGTGTAGAAAAAGTAATCGAATAGAGTTTACGGTGATAGCTATCGCCGAAAAACCGATAACCGATAACCGATCCGATAATAAAAAAGGCCATCGACGATTTGTCAGTTATGTCATACCTAATCTATCTATCTATACTATAATAAAACTGTAGAGGCAGAACGTCTGTATATAGAAAAAAACGCTAAAAACCGAGTCAGGGGGATGTAAGAAGAGAAATAAACAAATCTAAAAAAAAACTATTTTTTTGTTTCTCTGTCTCTCTGTCTGTTTGCCTGTATGTCTGTTTGTCTGTTTGTACGGGCTAATCTCTGAAACTATTGGACCGATATAAATGAAATTTTGCATGATTGTACTTTAGATCCCGAGTCAACACCATAGAAACTTTTCATACCGAAAAATTAAAGAGTTCTCGTGGGATAGTTAAAAAACTATAGTAACTTATACAGTTTAGTACACAAAAACTGTTGATTGGATTTTAATGAAATTGTACAATAATATAGTTCATAATCAGAATAACAAATAAACTACTTTGTATCCCGGAAAAATGTACGGTTCCCGTGGGATAAATATGTTATTGTTAGTCTAGAGGCGAACCCGAGCGAAGCGAGGGTGAGCCGCTAGTGATAAAATAATGACGTGATTAACAAACAAACTTACAATCATTCACGTATTTTAGACTATTAGTAGGATTATAATTAATTATATTATATAGAACGATAATTCTAGCATTGCATCTCTTTGACTCTTTTCGGATTGTCTCGCTCGTAGGCATATAAACTATGCCGCGCGTCTATGTGGCGTATTCTTTGGTCGGTGTTCTGGTATAATAGTGCGTGGATTGTTCGATGCTTTCTTGCGGGGTGCGCGGGTGCAGCGCGCTAAGCTCCGCCCAAACACTCAAGGCCATTGGGGACACTAATCGTCTTAAGTACTTTTATTATTGCGAACCATCAACACTGAAAATAATAAAGACCATTATTAACATCAGATAAAATTGATTTATTGATATCGTAATTTTAGATTATATTGTTTACTTTTTCTTTTTACAGCAGGTATCTATTCATTTATTTCATTGAATTGAAAAGTATAAAATTTACACCGACTATTCTTGCCGTTAGTTTTGCAGCTGTTAACAACACAACAACAATCATGGCCCATTTTAATATACGTACAAATTGTAGTAAATCTCAAAAAAGTTTGATAGAATGTCCGCGAATTTTTCAGATTTGTGCCACCGCATGCGCTGTGATCAATTTACTATACCCCCACTCTGTACTTCGCACATGGCCAATAGGATAGGTAATTTTTACTGCGGTAAAATATCTCATCGCTGAGAAATCTAGTGTCTAGAGACGAACCCGAGCGAAGCGAGGGTGACTCGCTAGTCTTATATAAAAATGTTTCACCGCATAAGAATCGTATTTGCGACCACCATCGTCAAACGTCATGATTTTATTAGTAACAGCCTTCTTAATTAGAAAACGATAAATATAATGTTTTTATGTACGTCGTGAGTAACCTTGAAAAATATAACATTACTAGTACATAGAAGTTGAAGTCTCTAAAATTCTAAGTGATAAAACATTATATAAATAACCTTATAATTTCAGGACGAGGAAAATATGAACACAGTAAACCAATGCAATAAGCTTTATATTGTCACTTTTTACTTTATATAAGTTTTATAATGTCACTTCAATTTTCGTATTTCCATCTAATATATCACAATTAAATGTAATTTTAACGATCACTTTATCACTAGTAGTGATTCACTACTATTTAACCATTCACAGGAAAACTCTTCATCTTTTCACTTTTTACACATAAGTTCGCTACTATTTTGATCAATAAGTTTACCAGCATAAATTCAATATTATTTTAACAAATAGGTAATACTTATCTTTTCTGGCGTAATGAACGTCTGTCAAAAACTGCCCCTTCCAACGGTCACCTTACGCTTTATAATGGAGCATTTCATATGAAGCGGACAAGAAAAAAAGTGAGGTTAGGAAATTTGTTCATATGCGTTGTTGTATTTTCAGTTTAAGTAATTATACATCAGTTTAACCCACGACAAAAAAAGAGTGGTTATAGGTTTCTTGTGTGTATATGTGTGGCATGTCTGTCGGTAGTATGGCTTCATATTGCTGAAACGCGTGCATCCGAGTGCGGTTTGTTTTAATCGAAAGCTTTGACTGTTAAGATCAAAGTTAGCTATGTTTAAGGAACGTTGGACCAGGCATTGACTAGTCCCCCCCAACGTGCGTTCACCTCGTCGTGGTGGTGGGGCTCAGTAGTGCCCGGCAATACAACCGGACGCGAAGCCAAGAAACGTACAGGGAGGTGGCCCGCTTCAGTGGGCGGTGGGAGGCGGCCCTCTTCGGAGGGCGGTATACCATGCGGGTTGCTCCTGGTACTTCTCTGATAGCAGAGTGGACCTTGGAGCAACCCGTGGTTATTGTGGTCTGCTTCGGCAGACCTGCCGTCGGGGCGTCGTAGTTGAATGCGTAAGCGATCCTGCGATGCCCCATTAAGACGGGGGAAGGTTTTGTTGGGTTTTAGTGGGTAGTACTGGCTTCGCCGGTGAGTCCCACACTTCGTGCGTAAATGCATTTCCCAACGTTAAAAAAAGGCATTGACTAGTAATACAAGCTTTTACAAAATAGCAAGTAATAAACCCTAAGTTTTCAAAGCTTAAACTCGCTTGAATACAATGATACATGTGATTACGCTTCAAATTTCGCCAAGTAACTGACATAAATTAGTATGAAGCATCACGCTCAGAGCGACCTGCATGTACATTAATTTACCCATCTTTCTATGTAATAGAGACTCCACTATGAAACTTTTAGTGTTTTTTAATAATACTATAGGCTATATTTGGCTTCATATGAAATGCCCCTAATATCAATCAGCCGGAAGTGACATATTAATTATTTTTTTATAAAATTACCCTAAAAGTCAGTTAAGTATCCATAATTTATAATTTAATTTTATTAAATAAAACAATAGTATATGAGAATTTTTAAATGTAATAATATATTTTTTAAATTATTAACTTCTTAGTATTTGATTTATTTTTTAGCATATAATTACAAAATTAGTAACTCGAAAAATATGTTCAATTTTAAGATATGACTGATAAATTATTATATTTTATAATTAATATTGATTTGAAGTAGTCAAATATTTCCTTTTAATTTATTAATGACTTTTAATTAAAATATTATTATTCATGATTTCTAATATATATACAGAGAAGTTTGGGACAACTGAAAATGATACCTATTATCCCTTTTAACGTGTAATATGTTGCTGATTAATATACCTAATAACATAAAACATAAGTCACATAAAGTTTTCCAAAAATCGTGTTGTATGTCATTCAAGAATAAGGAACGTCCTCGTTATATTATTGTCTATTCAAGTTTAGTTTATGCATTTAACCTATTTAAATTCAAATCAAAACATTACGAAACTAGAATAAAAAATGTAAAGCTAATTTCACGAAACTAGTTTCAGTACCATTAAGCTTATTAAATTAATTTGTATCGTGAAATTCTGAAACAAACAGACAATTTTAAATAAAACTATCTTTTCGGATTTTGTCGCGGATTTATAAATGAAAGAAATAAGTGAAATTTTCATTTTGTTAATTGTGGGTAGGCTGTCTATAACAACTATACATTCAAGACATGTAACACCTTAGTCTCTCCCGCGACCATGGATGCTGTAAAGCATTCGAAACGTCGTGAAACAAAAATGCAAATAAATGCGCGACAAAATCCGAAAAGATAGTTTTATTTAAAATGTCAAATATTCGCGTAAATCTAAGAAAGTATTAGACAAACAGACAAATGAAAAGATCAATGGATCTTAAGTTGATAATAACTAAAGGATGAAAGGATAAAATGTTGCTTTTTTATATATTTTATTAGAACACCAACAACATAACACACAAATACATATTAAATTCATTCTTAATCACAAGTTCTAGTATGTTAGTCACTCACAGGTGTCCATAGCACTAACCAACAAATTACATACATGCACTGCTAATATAAAAAGAAAATAACATGACTACAAAAATAAGGGTAAAAAATTGTACAGAAAAAAAATTGAGGAAAAAAATACAATTATAAAACTATATGAAAAAAAGCCAGTGCAGGCTGATAAGTAAAATAGTTCGTTTTTTTATACAACAAAAAATAATTTAAAACATTAAAATTTATAAATAGGGTTTAAGTTACTTAACTACTTTTATGTATATAAAAAATTCAAAACTAAGATATATGTACATAAATATTAGAATAACTTACTCCTAAAATCTTGCTTTAGAAATGTTTATTATATTTACAGATAAATATTTACATTAAACTTCCACATAATATGACAGCATTTAACACACGAAAGATTTCGAAAGCACAACATTGTACCGCTGCGCTGGACAAAAAAGCTTACAGAACTCAAAAAGGGATGGGAAAATGTTTTGTTATTCAAATCTATTTAATCATTATATCGTAACCGTATAAACAAGTCCTTTTTTCAGAACATAAATATAAAGTCATTTACAATATAAATACAATTTAAAATATCATTAACCACACGAAAGAGCAAAAACAAACCTTTCGTAGTTAGCCCCCACTTTAAAAATTTTATTGAATCTATTTCTCACTTAAAGCCAAATATGTTCTATCCTTAGAGTTACTCTAAGGTTCTATTTTTTATCTTTAGCCCAATAGAAACTTACATAACTTCGTTATTCTTTCTAATATTAATAATAGTATTTCTGTATTTTTTGTAAATAATAAAACTTTCTCTAACATTAAGTCTTATAAATTATAATCGTGTATTTTGGTCCAATCTAACTTTATTCGACACTCGAAGACAGATGTAAGAACCGATGCTAATGATAATAGATAATAAGGCTAACAAGGCAGACGTCCCACCGATGAATGTAGGGTAGAGGTGGTTTTGTAAGTGACACTTCTCCACTTCATACCAATTGCAGGTTGCCACTGTCACAAAATGAAAAAAAATAAGTTTAGTACTTTCCCGAATCTTATATATTTATGCTGCAAATTTAAAATAATAATAATAAGAAATATATATTTTTTTACTAACGTTTTAGTTTTATCATTATATATACTATCGATGTATCAAACCGTCAAATACTTATGATACAAAATTGTTACTAATAACTTATTCCTTAGATATGAAAAAAGAAACCTATCTACCAATTTTTTGCAATATATGTATTAAATAAACACATATATTGTACAGTTTTTTTTTTAATTAAAGCAAATTTATGAATAAAACTAGCAAATAACTTACATCCTATTCCGATAAAAATTAAGTGTCCACAGACAAAACAAATGAAGGCGACCATCGACCACGCTAGCCCCATCACTACGGACTTGTCCCGCTGGTCCACAATGCGGAGGAGCAAGACCCCTTGAGCTTGGAAAACTAGCACTAGACATAAAAAAAGTATATTAATTAATATATTAAAAAATAACTAACAATAATTCTTACGAGATTCTTCAGTAAGAATGCCAAAAATAGTGTAGGTATTAGGTACAAATGAACACGGTAATGAGATTGCCGAGTACCTACTAGCTGACGATTTTAATTAGAATTTAAGTGTCATACAATGAGGGCTACCGTTTTTGTGCTCACCAGTTGGCGCCACTGACGAGTAAGGTCCTATTGCTGCCATTAAAAGTAGTATTTGTTGGTGCGGAAGGGCCATAAATTTAAAATAATAATAATAATTGTGACCAGTTCATTTTTTTTTTAATAATTTATATTATATAATAACCAAACACATTAAATATTGACGTTTTTTACTTCTTCTTTTAAGGCAATAATATTTATTGAGCCAGTAGGGCATGGCTGTGTCTGCCTTAATTACTCAAATATGTCACAATGTTTATAATAGTCATGAATAATTAGTAAAAATCCACGATAAAAAGGTCGCAAACATTTAATATTCAGTGTCATTTGACATTTGTAGAGACATCACTCTAAACTAGCGCCCTCTCGCGGCGAATACAAGTACGACAGCCCTCAATACCTTATGCGGTTTAGTATAGGTGTTTGTTTCTAACATAAGTAACTTCTTTTTTTTCTTCTAATGTAAATGTACTTGTACAAGTACTTATTCTAATTTGCTTATATTTTTTCAGACGACCATCCTTTGCAATAATTAATTGATACGAGAAGAATTTATAACATATCATCGTCGTTGCTGTCATCATCATTGGGTATAAAAACTCTACATTTCAAACGTACTCTACACTACAATCCTTTTGAAAAAAAATGTAAAAATATACTTACCTGTGAAAGTAATTACAGTATACAACAACATTCCATGAAGATGAAACGACTGAGTGCAGCGGACGTTGCTGCATGCGCCGAGCTGCGCGTGGCCGCCGGCGGAGCACGTGCAGTTTGAGTACACGCTGTAACCAATACGCGCTTAATAATAAAATTGGTTGCGATAATATATATTATTTATATATTCATATGCGTATTCAGCTCTTTTTAAAGTCCCACTGCTGGGCACGGGCCTCCCTTCAATACGATCAGGCTATAGTCCAGCACACTTCACATGTCTTTTGAAAGATTGCTAGTTTCTCTCAGTCATGCAGGTTTCCTCACGATGTTTTCCTTCACCATAAGACAAGTGATAATCATGTTGGAAATGATTCGCACATGAAAATGTCAGAGGTGCGAGACCCGGGATTTGAATCCACTTACTTCACTAGTAGTAGTAGTAGTAGTAGTTTCCCAAGCGAGCGCGTTACTACTGGGCTAACACTGCCTTACAATCTTTCTCATAGACATTAACAGTCTGTGAAATTTTCGATAAAAATAACATTATCTTAGATACTTACAAAAAGCCATTAATGGTTTCCGTGCTTCTACAACCAGCCTGGCACGGGGACACGTACGTCACCATCTTGTCCATCACACACACCGGTTGAAACTCATTCCAACGGGGGTGACAGCTATAAATTATTATTTAACTATTATTGTAATCAGTTAAATATATTATTCACACTTTTCAGTAAATTTTTATGCACTTGTTTCCAATTCTCTACCAAGTCTTTTGCCTTTTAAAAAAATTTTGGCTGATTGATACATAAACGCGATGTCTAGACATAAAACACTTGTGACAGCTAATTCCTTAAAACTGCTAAAAGGCGAATTTTTTGAAATGTAATAATTAAGTAATTGAAAAAGATGACAAAAAATTGAATTATATTTTTCGGGTGAGACACGTGAAGCATGTTATCACAAAATCTATAGAAGACTAGCATTGCCCGCGGCTCCGTCCGCGTTCAGATGACCAAAAACTAAATTCTTAGGTTATACATATTAGTATACCCTAACATTGCAGTTTTTGTATTTTTTCTCAGAAATGAGATATTTTCCCACGGTAAAAAATATCCTATATGTTGACCCGGATAAGCAGCTATCACCATACCGAATTTCATCAAAATCCCTCCAGTGGTTTTTCTGTGATGCGGTAACAGACAGACAGACAAAAATTCTAAAAACTATGTATATATTCGGCCTTTGTATCGAAAATAATATTTATTTCAATAAGATTTTCCAAAAAATATTTAATGTACAGATTCGGCTTAGTTATAATTTTATTATATGTAGATACCTGCACAACATATTAATAACAATGTGAAAAAAATGTAGATCAGCATGATTTTGATATTAAAATCTACTATATATATATGTACGTATACAAATAAATAAAATTGAATTGTCTGTTTGTAATGTCAAAATGACAGCTTTTTACTAAATTCATATGAAAGTATATAATATTATTACTTATGAAAGTATGTATATAGGTACGTAAAAACACCAATTCTTATCATTTTAGTCTCTCTGTTTATTCTGGCTAATCTCCAAAACGGCTGGACTGATTTTGACGGGACTTTCGCCGCTGGCAGATACCTGATGTTATAAGGAATAACTATGGTAGGTAAACAAAATCCGCATACCTGAAGTAGGTTAGGGACAGACCCGATGGTAAGTCCCTAGTTTTGTATAATAATGCAATTTACACTGATAATAATCTACTAATACACAACTAACTTGCAAGATAAACTACACTCCGGGTGTTCATAGACAGTCTCGCTGAGCCCCGCCACCTCCCCGTGGTCACAGCGCGGTATGACCGTCATCACCACGAACACGATACACGCGGCCACGCTCATCAATATCGTCATCTTCATCGCTTTTAAATTGCAAAACTCCATAAGAACTGGTGCTGAGAATTTAACTCCTGCGTACTAAAAATATTACATTTTTTTAGGGTGTTGCTGGGTATTTCTCCGAAATTGTGTTCTTCGTCTGATTTATGTGGCCGAAAAATATTTTCACTTTTGGCTCTATTCAATATACTCTTTTGATTAAAGACATGCCAAATAACATATATTTGAATTACGCACTTATTTTAATCAAACATAATAAAACAATATAATTCTAATCTATCGGGCGATTAAGATTTTTAATTTAAGTCGATTAAGATTTTTAATTTAGGTCTATTCGATCTTATTTATAATTTAAAATTTTAACTATCGATATTGTTAAAAATCTTTATTTGATAAGTAAGATTATTTTTATAGAATCATAAAAATTGTCGCAGTCACAATATATCACACGCCAACAATAGTCGGACGAATAATAATAAAAAAATAGGTATATTCATCGACTTCCAGACGACTAGGCACACCGATCTTTTTAACACTACAAACTACGAAACAATAGCAAATATTCCCCTCGTAAGGGTGGAATGTTACTCAAAAAGAAATTTCAAAATCGAAGATAACACATGTCATATACAAATCGTTTTTATTTTAATTTATTCTCGGATTCTATAGGATTGTAGCGAGTTCTCTTAAAAAACAAGTAAAAACTCTCGCCTCTCGCGATTGCCACTCGCTTTTACGGTGAAGGAAAGCATAGTGAAGAAACCAGCACGTTTCAGAAAACGTAACCATTGCAAAGCAAATTGTACACAGTACTATTATATTAACTACCTAATTAAGAACTAAGTTTGACCTCTATGCGTTCCTACAACATTAATCAGGCATCAGGCCACACTTAGGCAACCGCGCACCCGAGCGAAGCGAGAGTAAGCTATTGAGAGGGTAAGTGTATTTATATATTTAATCTGTGCTAATACTTACCGCCACAATCACAATTAAGAAATGGTACAGTAGAAGCTCTGTATAATTTACAATTACACTTTCTTCCCGAACCAAATTGAACTTCACCTGCAATAGAATATGAAAATTAAATTAACTAAGTCTTGTTATAATAATTTGTTAGGCTGAATAGCTTTAGCTTGAACCTTCGTTCTTATTTTATTTTTTAATTTTTATTACTATGGGTTTTTCTGTACTGCTTCATTGGTCTAGTGGTTAGCTTTAAAGGCTGCAAATAAAGTTCGTTTGTGCGATTCCTAGCTTAGCTAAAATATTTATTGGGGGTTCTGACAAGAAAATGTCAATTGCAGTAAGTGAGAGATAAGCGTCGATAGACCACCATGCCAAGACAAAGCAACTAGAGCCATTGGTCCTACGTTTGATGGTCCTCTACGTCCGCGGAGTCATCTCATCAACTATGACAATAAAGGGAAGAAAAGGAAAGCATCTCAAGTGTAAGAGTAAAATTGGTCGATATGACTGAAATTCAGCTATAACCACATTACTGATAGTGGTTTACGGGAGATTCTTCCCGATTTATAAGTGCTACGTAGAAACTTTTTCATAGTTGTGTCTTCTATTCTGACCCATGTCATTTTTGAGTTGTTATAAAAATTATAGTCTGATTTTTAATTCCACGGAAATATGACAGCTATCATTCTTTGACAATTCAGATATCATAAACCTTTTCTGCTTTGTATTTTTTTAATATAAAATAACCAAAAGTATGAAACAGAATTAGATAAATTAAACTATATGTATGACATTGTAAATAGTCTTTGTTTTGTGCATTTAATGCACACTAACTATAATGTTAATTTTTTTAATGGTTAAATGAAAAAAACGGAGTAAAACAAAATATAAGAAATGAATATATTTACTAATCATTATTACTTATCTCATCCTTGTCGTCATCATCCACTCGGATTATAAAAGAATCACACACACTATCCATCAGATCATTAAGAGGGCACATTTTATCCTTTTCTTTTATAATATGGTTTATGCATTCTTGCCAAAAACAATAATAAAAAATCGTAAACGATCGTTGTGGACCTGTCTTTTTGGGACTTTCCAATTCTTTTTGCCAATTGCAAAGATTTTACAAACAAAGGGGTTTTTAAAAAAAAGGCTTGCAACCTATGTATTATTGTACAGGGATTCCTGTAATAGAAAAACAATTTCCTTAATAATTATTCTAATTTCGATAATATGTTAATAAAAAAATAATTACCATTTTAGAGTTATCAATAATTTTTTAAGCCTTAGTTCTTCTAATTGAAACCTTAAATTCAAGAAAGGTTTATTTTTTTATTTGCTAAAATGCTTTCCGTTTTTAGTGACAATGTTTCAAAGCTGACAACATTTCTAAAATGTCAGAATTCCGCCGAATTAAAAATCAGACTATAGTACAGTCATTCATTCATTTTAAGCATCTTACCCAAGAAATATGTAATGTGCAATTTAAGTCCTATTATAAAAAGTATAAAACTAAAAGATACCTTATTTTTAAAATATTTAGACAGAAGATGAAGATTAGTGCAACATAAATAAAGCAAGGTCGAGTAGCTTCTTGGACAGTGTCATCTGCATGGAAATAATATAATACCTGTTCTTTCAGGTTATCACTGATTATTATTGTAGCCTTATACCTTATTATTTTTGCCTGAGATAAATATGGACTTCTAGATAGGTTTAATTATTATTCAGTTAACTTTTCATGACTTGAGGAAATTGTAATCAATGTGCTATCATTTTGAGAAGCTGCTACTCCGTATTTTCCGCACCATATGTAGGTGTTTAGTTATCTAGAAATACGTCCATTATACTCGCACCTCTTCAAAATAACAAAACTCTTCTGTTCTTTCGACTAAAAGTCTCAAAAGTCGACCAGTGTGTGTTGCCAGTGATGACATATGCCACAGAGGCGTTGCCGCTATGGACCTAATAAGAAAGCTCAAGATCACACAGAGAGCAATGGAATGGGCTATGCTCGGGGTTTTTCTGCGAAATCGAATCAGAAATTAGGAGATACGCAGCAGGACCTAGGTCACCGACATAGCCCACAGAATATCCAAGCTCAAGTGGCAGTGGGCGGGGCAAATCTCACGGCTCGCAGAACGGACGGTCGTTGGGGACGCAAAGTTCTCGAGTGGCGAAGGCGAAGCGTAGGTAGGCCTCCCACAAGGTAGACCGATGACTTGGTCAATATGGCTGGAGAATGGAGCCCACTGGATGCGGATGGCACAAGACCGGTTGTCGTGGTAATCTTTGGGGGAGGCCTATGTCTAACAGTGGACGTGTATGGACTGAGACAACAACTCGCACCTCTGATATTTACATGTGCAAATCATTTCCAACATAATTACCACGTGCCTTACGGTGAAGTAAAACATCGTGAGGAAGCCTGCATGTCTGAGACCTCAGACATAGCAAGTTTTCAAAAGACATGTGAAGTCCGCCAACCCGCACCTGGCCAGCGTGGCGGACTATGGCCTGATTCCCCTCGTCCTGAAGGGAGGCCCGTTCCCGGCAGTGGGACGTTAAAAATGGCTGAATACATTAACATAAAAATTCTATTTAATATAGCATACCTTAACAATTTCGCTTTCATTGTATGCATACCCCCATAGGGCGGCCGCCATAAGCCCCATCGCTAACATCTGTGTCATTGCCACAGAATTACACATCACTCTTCCTAAACTTAAAAAGAAACCTAAAAAGAAGAGACACTATATTTGATAAAATCACTCATAAGCACCTCGCAATTCATCAAAAGAAATACTATTTCCATTCGAAATGGAAGAGGCTTACTCATAGCCATAGAGAACCACATACACTTTAACTCAAAATTATTACGATTTGTCATCCGAATTGCAAATTTGTATCGATAATTATAATTCAGTTTGAATTGAATTTCTAAATCCGATAACACTTAATTATATATATACAAAATTAAAGCTAAAATTTCAACTTACCCCTATCCTTCTGACTTAAAGCAGTCTTCTGAACCCCATCTACTTCAGGCACTACTTTGGGTACTATAAACATGAATTTTATCACATTAACAGCTAGACTCAGTACCAAGATCAATGTCTGTATAAACATGTTCTTCTCCAGAAGGCTTGTCATGAGCCTTATACCAATTATCAACACCACGACTCGAGATAAAAGAAACACCCCTAGAGATAAAAGAAATAATCACCAATTATGTTATAGTACCTGGGCCACCGAGCTCCGCTCGGAGTTTTTGGTCAAAAGTATAATTTCTTTTAAAAAAAAAACTAAAAACTTGAATAAATACAAAAAAAAAAGGAAAAAAAATCGTTTGTATCCGACGGGGAATTAAACGTGGACACCTATGATTGTCTATCTTGCGCCTTAGTCGCTTAACCTTGATGCTAATGCCCAAGCATGCCAAATTATCGACCATATTTTGCGTGGAATATTGCAAAAGAAAACGGCATAAAAATTTAAAAACACGCATTTCCAAAGACATAAGACTAATCTAGATCGATTTATCGCCCCCGAAACCTCCTGTATGCTAAATTTCATGAAAATCGTTTGAGCCGTTTCCGAGATTCAGATTATAATATATATATACAAGAATTGCTCGCTTAAAGATATAAGATAAGGCAAATTATTAATTTTCCTTATCTTATATATTAAACGAGCAATTAAGTATAATTTGAAATAATTAAACAATACTTTAAAATTAAGTAAAAACTTAAAAGTTTGAAAATGTAAGCATTTCGAGAAATATGGAATATAGTATGGCCGACTTTTAACAAGAAAAATTTAATAATTATTTTTCAATATTCATTACTTTTACTAACTTCTCCGAGGAACAGTGATTAAGAACAATAATTATTTAATCTTCTTCAATAGGTACCATACTTTGGTTTGTAAGCAATTTCCCGACGAAATACGGCTAATGGTTATTGAAACCTAATTTACAAGTTGGTAATTTTTTTTTTTATTTCATGCAAAAATAGATTCCAGTAGGACTTTGGCAGTAAAGCAGTTACTAAAAGATGTAAGCTATAAATTATTCATACCATAATGCACACTAGTCCTCGAAGGAGCATACTCGTCAATGTACGCAATGCCGTGGCTCCAACACCCAATGCGAGCGAGTATAAAGGACACGCTAGTGCATGTGAGGATCGCTAATCTGGTTATCGAACGAGTGGTCATACCCTCAAATTTTATATTGTTTTCATCTGCAGCTTCACATAATTCTAAAATAAATAATTACTAAAGTTAAGATCTAATAACCTGCTGTTTAGTAATTTGGTAGACACTAAAGTTTTAAAAGAACCTAAAAGTTCTCTGAAAATTGGTGCTTTTTGAATTTTCATTTTGCCACCATTTAGGTGGTAGCAGTATTTTTTATATTTTTTCCGAATAATTTTTGAAATATTAACGTTTACTAGTTAAGTTTATTTTTTAAACTTACCAGATATAGATCTTTCTTCCACATTTGGGATGAAGAACCATGAGATGCAACACACCGTAACTAGGGACGAGTATGCAAGGAGCATCGTCCGCCGTTTCCCATAGCCCCACCATGAAACTAACGGAGCCACAAGAGCTTCGAATATCGACAACGCTACAATCATTATATCTGAAATATAAGAAATGTTACTTTTAATTAAAAAAAATCAAATAGATTTGAATTTCCAAAGCATCGGCTTACGCTTTCACCTTTATGAAACTTCTTAGATATAGGATTTGGTTCCCAATGCTAAAAACATTTATCATCTATCATTTATACTATATTTGTTTGTCTGGGATGATCTTCGAAATGACTATACCGTTTTTAGAGACTTTTCAGGTTATAGAGAACCTAACTGTGACTGACAAATCATAAGACAAAACGTACCATGATAAGGCGTACACTTATATATATAGAGGAAATATGCTTTACAAACCTGGTGTATAAAAAGGAATTTCGCCGCTTTTTATGTCCTGTACTATCAATTTGTATGTACATATCTCTCCTATCGTAATAATTATCGTGGCACCCATCAACACCCCTCGGAGTTTTCGAGGGTCGAACTTTTTCG